TCTAAGAAATAAATAATGAACTAAATAACAATGAAGTGTTAATAATGGAGGAACCGAAAGTTTTTTTAAAAATTCCATTCTGGGATAATTAAGGGATAAATCAGTTCAACTGAAAGATGTCACCGTTATTAAAACTTCATTCATTTATTGAATTATGTTTCATGTGAACAGAGTATACTTTAAGATTATTTGATTATTGGGTGCCTGGGTGGCTCAGTTGGTTAAGCGACTGCCTTCGGCTCAGGTCATGATCCCGGAGTCCTGGGATCGAGTCCCGCATCGGGCTCCCTGCTCGGCAGGGAGTCTGCTTCTCCCTCTACCCTCCTCCCTCTCATGCTCTCTGTATCTCATTCTCTCTGTCTCAAATAAATAAATAAAATCTTTAAAAAAAAAAAAAAGATTATTTGATTATTATATAAGTCAAGGTCATTTCCAGGTTTTGGAAAATTGAAATTAATGCCTTGTCACTGAAAATGGGACTGAGTTTATCAAATCAATTTCTCAAAGGCCACCTGATAGTCACCAGATGGCAACTGTGCTGATGTCAAATTTGAAATTTAAGTTATAGATAGCCCTGTGACTATGCATTACCACTCACTCATCCCACTGGGTTCCTTTAATATCATAAAACACAAAGGCTTTCTACTACTTTCCTAAATTCCATTTGAACAAAATGAAATATGTTCTATCCACAATGCTTGCAATAATTAAAGTCTTTTTTTTTTTCTTAATAGGAGTCTATCTAGCAATAGCACAATATGGAATGAACGTTAATAGACCTGGTATGGTACTTGAATAAATGCCTATCAAGAGCGAGGGCAACCATTAGTAAATTTCCTAAAGAAAATCCATTTTCATTTCAAATTCTGACATTTTATTTAGAAAAATTACACCCTTTCTTTTAATTATTTCAGTAAACATAATGAGGGTATTGCTAACTACACCTCTGAGTACTTTATTTTCTCCATTCTTTTAGTAATATGAGTCTACTTGTAATTAAAGGCACACTGCATTAATGATGCCAGGGGTCTCCAAGGGAAACACTTAATGTCCACCTCATGATATTATGCCAAAATTACATGCACAGAAGACTTTTTAATAATCTTTGTTTCCTAATTTAGTTTTGATTGGCTCTGAAATCCACAGCAGCTCTCGAGGGTTCACATTTCCATAGCCATCAGCACTTCCGCACCATCTATTGTACGAATGCACATGACTTCTCCCGTCTGCAGGCTTCTTTTCAAAGCTTCTGTTTAACTTATCCAGAAAATTAGCTGCAGGCTGGAGATAATTGCAGATAATTTTGCCATTTTTAAGCCACTGGGGTGTTGCGTGGAGATATGACAGCGAAGTTTGTCTAAACACAAAGAACAAGTCATAGCTTTGTGTTGTCACTTCGGCTTTACACGCAGGTTCCGATCATCCTATTTGCTCTTTATGCAAATTGAAACAAATTGTAGTCACTAGATGATTTATGTTTTCTGACAAAGCTGTGCTACGGGAAGCTTTTATGTGGCTGGGAAAAGGACATGATCTATACTAACATATTATCCCAGCCTAAAAAAGAAAAAAGGAAAGAAATGGCTAAACCTCTTCTACCTCTCAGATTCTTCCTCCTTAACAGAGATACTTCTTGGGCCATCAACAACTTAAAAGGAATATATTAAATTAAAAAGAAAATGTATGGTCTCATACACAATTCGTGTGTGTGTGTGTGTGTTTCCCCTATTCTACTCTCATGCATAGAAATATCAGAGTGATCCCATAAAATTAACATTCATAAATGCTGGTAGTATTAATACACAGCAATTTAAAATCACTAGATATTAAAGAATTATTAAATAGGTCATCCAGGTTAGGAAGCAGAGATCTGTTATCAAATGGAATCATGTGGCCCTTTTTCCCTAAAATTTCACAATAAACTAAATGCTGCATCCCTGGATGGTCGCTGCCGCATGAGGATGGAACACGTGCAAAAGGCAGCAACTGTGGTTCTTAATGCATTGACAATGAACTATGGAAACTTCAGGGTGTTTCTCTCACCAAATGTCCCCTCGGTGCTCAGAATTGTTATACTCATAGATAATAACGGAGTAGGTGATTTCTTTTTTTTTTTTTTTTTTTTTTTTTTTAAAGATTTTATTTATTTATTCATGAGAGACAGAGAGAAACAGAGGGAGAAGTAGGCTCCCAAGGAGCGGGAAGCCCGATGCGGGACTCGATCCCAGGACCCTGGGATCATGACCTGAGCCGAAGGCAGACGCTTAACCATCTGAGCCACCCAGGCGCCCCGGAGTAGGTGATTTCTGAAACCATTCTGCAGCAAACATTTACATATAAGGGCTAAGTAGGGACGGTGCTTATATGGTAGCAACACTGATGTAATGGGCCATAACGACTCCGAGGGAGCAGGTATGGGTGCGTGTGTCAAGGAGGAAAGAACGTGAAAGTCGTAACACAAATGACTTTATGGATTCCCGGTAGACCTTGGGCTAAGGAGCACCTACACAGGTCTGATATGACAGCATCCCGAGACAGCTTTACAGCCTTGTGTCAGGAACCCTTTCACTAAAGAGTTTTATGGAAAATCCAAAACTACAGAGAAGAAGTGTTGCTGTATTAGGCCATTATCGTTGACTTGGCATATGATATGCATACAAATAGTCCCAAAGTCTGCATTTAAAGGATGGGTTATTAAATCTGCTCTGCCAATCATATGCATATTAAGGAGTCCAAATTAAGCATTGATAGGTAACATCCCACAAATCTTACACGCTCCCTTGGAAAACAATTCTGCCTAGTGACAAGCTTAAATGCACCAAGGCCTCCAAATACCTGCGTCAGACTATGACGTAGCCTTTCAAAAGACTGTCTTGTGGATTTGGGGGTAAACGTATAAAGTATTCACGTTACTGCACTTGAGAAAGCTGAAGGATATAATTTTAATTCTTTTTTCTCTTTTGGTCTCTAACATCACATAGCTAGTGAACTGGGAGGGAACTGACTTGTTTAAGGACTTCAGACCACGTCCCCACGAAAGGCGGGCATGAGAAGTTCTGTAACGTGCCCTTTCCCACTCATGATAAGAGAGGCACGCTGAAAACACCAAGTGAACCCTTCCACATGAGGACAGGAGCAGGGCTCAGCTAGCGCTCTCTTGCCAGGGGCTGAGATCGAGGAAGCTGTGCATTTAAAGCACAGGCTGAACACACCATACTGGGCCGATGTGGGTGGAAACAGCACTCTAAAGAAGGAGATCTGGTATTTTACTTACATCTGTCAAATATTAAACAATTCCAGAAGAGGCATATTGGTACAAGTGTCATGTAAGCCAGTAGATAGAGCTAGAGTGTTCTTCATAATATGAAGCGCTGGCCCAGAACTCATTCTCCTGACGTGAGGAGTGGAAGACTCCACGACCTATCATCTGCACAGCAACTGCACCCCAGATTTGCAATGAGATTTTAAATTTAACCTTTTATGAGAGATTATCAAACAGCTTCTATAAAGCCAACAAATGTCCCTGCTCTTTTACAGACTTACTATAGTTTTGCTAATGTGTTGGAATAAACTCCTCTTCTGGAAGTTTCTGATTTCTAAAATGTAGCTTTTTTTTTTGCAAAGCGCATACCTGTTTCCCAGAAAGATGGGTCCTCTCTTTGAAATATTTAGTCTCGCAGGGCACTTTAGTCATAGTGACACCTAATAGGCAAGCTCTTTTTCTCACTCTCCACAAAATCAGGTTTAGACCATAATTCAAACCAGTCCCCAAAGGCACTTCTGAAAAATGGCAAGCTGTTAGCTTTTAGGTAAAAACACTCTTTTTTGCTCAAAATTGTTTCCTGTTACAAAACCTTTTCCACAGTGCTAGGTCTAAGATGATCTTATGCTAATTTAACTCACTGGGGACTGTGAACAGATGCTACTTTGATTAATAGTTTCACTATGCTGAAAATGCCAGGCCAGGTTCAAGATAATAAAGTCAGGTAAGAATACTATTAAAATCTGCCATATGATTATATCTGTTATGTGGAGAGAAATGGGATCACAATTCCAGTATCAAATAAAGACCACCTATAATAAAAAAAAAAACAATGACATAAACCAAATGAACATACTGTCTGAATTCTTTAGCACTTTGATTTACATCATGGTAATCACCAAACTCTTTATTAATACCTTATAGGTAAACTTTCAGCCACGTCCTAAGTGAAAATTCAATGCATCACTCCAATGCTATCTTTGCACCTAGGATTTAACTCTCCACCCAGGAAAAGACTTATGTACACCACAAGAACAAGGAAAGGATGGTATCTGAATTTGTATGCCCAGGTCATTACTTTCCATGCAAATATGTTTCCAACATTCCAACAGTCATATTTAAAACACCCATAGAAAACTGTGACCCTTGCAAATAAGGGCCTGCATGAGTTGACAAATGAGACTTTTCTGGAGGCATTAGCTCCTCTCTCCTTTGCTTCTCTTCTCACTGTTCTCCTAACCAAGGACTTCCACATCACAGCAGTGTCCACATGCGAACAACCACGAACTCTAATCTGGCCTCGAACTATGAAATTCGGGGCTGGCCTTACACAGGTATGTGAAGAAACCTTTGTGTTTTTAAAGTCGGTTTACCAGTGGATTTTATCCTTCACCATGGTGCATATGACCTAGTCATATTCCCAGACTCCAATCTGAAATTTAACCTTCAGCTGAACTTTTTCTTTTATAATTTATATACAGTACACCTGTCTCAGTGGAAGCTTTGGTTTGTAGGAAGGCAGAAGGTACATTCCAGTGCATCAATCACACTGTGACTTGTAATTCCGGGTCCTGCAAGCCAGCCTCCATTGAGAAGGAAGCGAACCTGTTAGCGCAGATCTGCCACGCACAGATTCAGCTCATTGCATGAGTCGAGTCTTTACCCTTACCACATTTGTACACATGTACGACATGCCCCCACTTAATATGAAATAGACTATTCCAAAGGGTTGCCTCACCATTGCACAGAACGTCTCGGGAGGGTCTCCACAGGTAATGTCCGGAGGATCCAGTTTTACTTTGAGATATTTGGTCATGTCCGTGGATTCCGGCTGACAGGCCATGTAATCCCAAACTTTCCCTTCTTCTGTGTAAATCTGAGTCTTACACACATCATAATGTCCCCATACCAAAGGGTAGGGTTGCATCACTGAGGACACTGTAACCCAAAGGGCATGAATTGACAGGAATCTTGACAAATACATATCTGAATTCTTGGCAATCCTCGCAGTAATAAAGCAGGGTTTGGTTATCTGTGAGCTATGTCTACTTTACATATACATATATGTCTATAGATTCCAAATCTAAAAGTGAAGGGTCGATATTGTGCGTGTTCAGGTATATTGAGGACTTTGGTGGAAGCCTAACATAGTTGTGCGTTAGGCGTTGACAACAACTTGCAGCTTTTTTATTGTCCTAGAACATAGCTATTAGACTCGGGTCTGGTTTGGTTTTTGTAAAAGATGTCCAGTGGCAGAGAATGATTTAGCAAAGTGATGGCTCTCCTGTTGTACGTCCGATAACCCTGGGTGATCCTCAGTGCTCACTGCTCGCAAGGGATGCTCAGATGCACTAGGATATCAGTATCTGAAGCAAAAGGATGAGTGTCTATAGCCGGGTGTCTGTTTCTCATCAATCATTCTTTCCTTCTGGCACCAACACCCTTTAAGAAACAATAAGAGTAAGAGTTATTGCCCCAGAATCAATGCATTACAAACTGTATGATATGTTGACATTTGGGAGGTTTGATGCAATATAAAGCAAATTGGTGTAATATGGATAACCTTTACTCCGCTGCTTTGCTAGAATGAGCAAACCACAGAAATCACTCACACTGGGGAGAATTTTGATATGAAGGATTTAACTCTTCCATAACAAAGACAGATGTGCGTGTCCCAGGTGAGTTACAGGTTCTCGCTTCAAAAATTATATTTCCATCTTGACAAAACTGAGAGCAAGCAGCTAGATTTAAACATTTCTCATGGACTGCAGTGCTAGAAAATCTTCCAGGAGAACAATGGGGGAAATGAATGCTTTTATAACAATGACAAAAAAGTGACAACTACTTCTATGCCTTTTGTCTATTGGCAAAGAGACCCTAATAATCTCTGAATTCCTTGTACATTTCTTAGCTTTTGTTAGCTGGAGTGAAAACCAGCATTGTTGGCACAAGTCTGTCCCTTTGGATTTGCTCATTATATTGGAAGAATTTAGCCTCTTTTGTTTAGTTGCATTTAGTGATAAAGATAACTTGCCTCTTCTGAAAAAAAATACTCAGAAATAAAACCAAAGGAGCAAATTTTCTTTTCACAAGACTCTTCTATTTTCTTACATCTTTTTATAGCCATTACATCTGCATTTGCACTTACTTTCTGTAACAGAAGAAGAGAATTTGTCCCAAAGGCGCATATTATATGCTGCTTTAAAACTAAAAGCTCTGTAGTAAAACGCACAATTTAAAATGCACACATAAAAATAGCTGAGAGTGAGTTAACAGGCCATGAAGCAGAATAATATGGCACTAATTCTAAGAGAAAATAAAAAATACTGTTTAACGGTACTTTGGGTTAACTGATAATGCAGCCCCCACAAATACGGATACTAGTCATTGGTGAGGTGAACTGGCAACTTTTCTCTTTAGAAACCACTGTCCAAGTCTAACCAAACAACAATATTTGGAATCCAGGTGTAAAAAAGAGGTATTTGTGTAATTAGTTGATTCGTATTGTCAGAGTCCCAGTAACTGTTTTTTTAAACAACTGAAAAAGGCCAAAAACCCTGTAGTTTAGAAAATACCATCATAGACCCTTTAATTTACATTAGGTGGTTTAAATAGGGAAGTTTGCTATCTTCAAACAATATTATAAAAGGAATTCAATATATTTAAATAATGCACCATCTTAAAATGAACTCAGCCACAGAGACTATGAAATGCCAACGGATGGTTGAATAGTGTTTCCATAGCAAAGTAATTTATAATAATTGCTTTATGGATGCAAGTGCAATTTTCATTATATTCAATTCATAAAATGTTATCATACAGCTGCAATTTGTGATATTTTCTGTTAGGAAAAGTGTTGAATATTTGAGTTCCTATGAAGCAATAATTAGCAGTTTGTCTAAACATGTATAAACTGCAGATTTGAATCTGCCTCCTCCTTATAACATATAGATGCGTTGGGCACATTTTGATATCTTAAGCTAAAAGGAAAGAAATCACAGGGAAGCATGTGTTGTGGCTACTAAAGCCTTAATAATCTGTAAAGGTGTTAAAATAATACAAATGCACATTTTCTAGATGCATTTTTCAACGGCGTTTACTACTTCATTATAACAAGAACAAACACTTTCATGGAGTGTGGGGGAGCTGGGCGTGAAACAGAAGTGTAAAATCTATTAGACTAGAAATTATTAACTTCAATTCTTAGGTTCAAATACATAGCAACTTCTTTATCAAGAACAATATAATCTTGAAGACCAGGGATGAACTGCTCTGAGTTTGAATTGAGTGAAAATTATGAGTTAATTCTAATACTGTTTTTAAAATGTGACCCTAAGTATATATTTGAATGCTCCCTGAGATTAACCTTCACTTTTTTTTAACGAGTAAAGGTTATCCCCTAATCCGTTTATTCTTCGTAACTCTGTCTTTATCCACATTTTGCCTTACTGCAACCACAGAATAAAGGATGACCACCAGATAGATGTATGTGAAAAATGTGGACACTAAGGAAATGTATGTGAACCTGTTACTAGTTTGACAGAACAGCAATCCCAATATAACGAATTCTCATTAAAGTATAGCAGAATTATAATAATGGTCATTACACAGAATTATGGACTACACCATTGATCGAATTTAGAGAACTGACAAGGAAAAATGCAGAGGGGTGCAAGATATTTGAATATTAGGCAGTTGCAGGACTGTGCGACAGACATTCTTGACAAGAAGCAGCCAATTATAGCTTAAATTTCTGGCACATAACCAGTTGTGATTAATAGTTTTCCATTACATTACAGACATATTATTAATGTATTAAAAATGTCAAGCTTTGGCAAGCACTAATATGGCATGGCTCAGTTAGTCTGCAGAATTTACATTTAATGAGCTCCCATTGACACAGAAAAAGATATTGACCACAGCATATTACAGATCAGGAGCAGAGGTCACTAAGCTGTTCTTTAACATAATTGCTTAATTTCATTCTAATTTTTATATTTGTAGCGTGTATTCTAGAATGTATTCTTCACGTCGGGTCTCCTCACTTTTCTCAGTGCCACTTACACTTCAAAGAAAATCCTCTTAATTTAAAATTAAGAAGAAATTAAATTTATGAATTTCCATGACACAGTGGAAAAGAGTCCTCTGTCAAAATCGGGAATTTGCTACCTAAGTATAATTATGGAGTTTTCAAGGAAAATAAAATGATATGAAAATAGAATATTATTTACCCCCTCACCTCTATTGCTTAATGGTACCGGTCCCATCTGGCTATGCTTTTAACCAGGCTAAAATCATCAATAGCTTCTTAAAAGCTAGGTCATCACAGCAAATAGCTAGGCAAACGAATGATGAGAAGGACGGTCGACGACATTTTTGGGGATTCAGTATACTAAACCAACCCCTTCTGGCCCATAACTGAACTACTTGCCAAGTAATGGGGGCTTTGAATTTGTCTCAGGTGTCCATATCACCTAAATGTGAGCTGCTTCCGAGGAGCTCTGGGCAGCCCCAGTTCCAGTTCTTTGCTCTGCAAATCTTGGGAACTCACTGTTTTCAAGTAATGCCATCATCTCTACCTATGCACTAAAGTGCTGAGAAATCCTCTTTGATAAAAATACCCATTAATATGCTATGAGAACTCCATAGACTCTCACTGGTATATAAATTTGCAGAGCCAGTGTGAAAATATAAAATTATGTCATGTCCTCAAGTTGATAGATGTTATTGATCTGGACTAAAGGGTCTGTAACATGGCTTTGCATCCACAGGACATCTTTTTCCAGGATTCTGGAGCTAATTCCCTTCCACCTGGGAATAACTTTGGAGAAGGTATTTCACAGGCCCTTTCTCTCATCAGAAAAGAAGCCTCCCAAAATAGTACATGGGAGTAATAATGGTCAAAATTATAGACAATTACATTCTTTAAAAAAAATGCCAACTTCATCAACTGAGAGGAAGATATTGACAGTAAATCTGTTAATTCTAGCTCATTGGTTTTATCATATAATCTCACGAGGAGGTGGGGGTGGTAGTATTAGGCTATTTATTCCAAAAATACTTAGCTCTTTAGGGGCACCTGAAATAGACAGCTATTGGCTCATTCCTCATAGACATTAAGAATTTTAGAAATATGCATGTTTCTGAATGGGAAGGAACAAAAAGAACACTGACCATAATCACATTTCATTGAGTGAAAATTATAAAGAGATAAAGACACCCCCAAATTCAATAACCTACCAAAATTAGCAGATTCCAACACTCTCGTAATGAGATTGACTAGACGAGATATTTAAGATACACTGAATGCTCTTTGCATTTATTTATTGTTGTGAAGAAAGCATTTTCTAGTCATCTTAAATGGGAAACATTTGCTTCTACCCTTTTGTTAACTGTCTTTCAAAATATAAGGAATTTAACATGTACTGAAGCATCATTGGCATATTTTACTCATCCGTGATTGGGTATTATGAGCAACTGCCTATCATGAGATTCTTAATAAAACCAAATAGCACACCTTCGTATTTGAAAGATCTCGGTTTTCACCGAGAGAAGAATGATTAGAGAAATCAGATAGCATATACTTGGCAGGATGTTTGGGGATGGGATAATCCATAAAATTATTTCAGAATCAGTTAAGTCTAGAAGAAATCTGGTATTTCATTACCATAGAACAACAAATCTTTCCTTCTTGTGTAGGGAAGTTCAGACATCCAAGGTTTCAAACACACATTTAAGAAAATCTACACCCACCTGAAGTTTTGAAACAAAACTCTGGGTTCTGAAGATAAAATTCTTTTTTAAAGTATGCTACATCTCTTACTGATATGATACACACACACACACCTTTTTTTGTTAACATAATAACTGACTTTCTGAGTTGCATGAAATTTTCTTTCCAAGCGACTTGATGCTCTTGTAACTCTAAAATTCTCCAAATCTTTACAACACTTAGAAAACGTATCAACTAAAGGCGTAATCATTTAAATTTTTTGACATATTACCTGTTTTTTTTTTTCAGAATAGTAATGGAAGCAGACAAATAGTTGTGCCAATTGCAATTATACAAAAGGAAACTGCAGAATACATTAGCGTCGTCCTAAAAAAGGTAACCTGAATCACTTTAACACACATGCCCTGTGAAAGCTGACAAAACAAAAATCTCAATAGAAAAAAAAGCTTTGTCTGCAAATAAGATAAACAGCTGTCTTACAAAATTTTAAGATGATCTCTCTTAAATTTCATAATAGGAAGTATAACCACATTAATAGATACATATGGAATTCTGAATGCTCTCATGTTGCTCTTTAGTGGTGAAATAGATGTCATTTCATGGCATCCAGAAGAGAAAAGGAAATATATCCCTTACATATGTATGCCGGAACAATAAGTGCAAAACACTTGATGCATTTTTTTCTTTGTATCCTGATCCACATGCAAATACTCAAATTTTGTCTTAATGAAAAACTGGAAGTTGCTTATCTTCCAAAAGAATCTTGGACAGTTACTGAGCTGCCGTTCCTTTGCCAAAGAGAAAGGGGGGTGGGTGCGTGGGTAAGACATTCAAAGTGACACAAAATACTTAATGAAACCTGAGGTTGCTAATTCCCCACAGCTTAGAGATGCTCTCAAGGGCTAGACAAATCACCAAAACCTTGCCCCTTCTCTAAAGAGAGAATTTCTGGGAAACTTTTTCTAACGAGCTTAACCATTAAGTAAATTTGAACAAACGATTTTGTTGGAGGATTTTTCTGGTTAATTTCCCCCCGTTTCTGTAAGCCAACTTTTAGTATTTTCAGTCATAAAACAGGG